GCGACACTGAGGGTTGCGATCCGTTGCCGGACACGAAAAAAGACAAAAAAGGAAAAAAAAAAAAATCAGTACAACAGTTTGATCTTTTGAAGCACAACTTTGAGCATGTTATTTTTCTGCTCAAAAAACCTTGAAAGTACCCCCTACTTTCTACCATGTACAAACAGAATAAATCCCATCCCCGGGCTGAGTATTCAAGGATGGGACCCTAACAACCTACCCTGCTCCCCTGGGGATCTCCTTTCTGTTCCCAGCTCCTCTCAGGCACTCATTCCTGCACCCTAACCCTCTTGCCTGCACCCAGCCCTGCCCTTCCCCCTCCTGCACAGGGATGAGTCTGCATGGACTTCATCCTTGCAGAAAGGCTGCATGCCTGATTCCTCTTTGAACCACCAAAGCTCCTTCCACTGTGTGTCACACAGAGATAAGCATGACAGACATGATGAACGAATGAATAACTGTGGAACTGAGCTGCCTTATGAGGGTGGAAATTAACTATTTTATTAAACAATATTTGTGGAACCCTTAGGGCTAATACTAGCAGCTAACACTGAAAGCTTATTATGTGCTGAGCACTGTGTTAAACACTTTACATACACGATATTATCATTTGATCCTCTCTAAAATCCTATGAAGTCAGTGCTATCACTATCCCCCATTTTACAAATGAGGACACTGAGGCTCTGAGAGGGGAACTCACTTGTCCAGAGTCACACAGCTTTCAAGTACAGGAGGTGGGCTCTGGACCGAAGCTGCCTACCTCCGTAGCCTATGCTGTTGACTATTACACCTAACTGCCTCCAGATGCTGAGGTTACACAAACATTCCAACATCTGAGTAATGTCCGAAGACCACCTACTGCAGGCCGATCAGTGATATCAAGGTAATAGAGTCCAACATATGAGAAACATCATCGCATGACAGTGTCAAAATGTCTGAGGAATATAAAGATTTTGAATAATGTTGTACCTTATTCAGTCAAATATTTATCAAGCACCTGTTACATCCATGCCAGGCAAAATTTTAACCCATGGGTTTAGAGCCATGATAAAATGCCCCCAAACTCCTTCCCTCGTGAGGCTGATATATATATTTTTTTTCCTTTTTTGTCTTTTTTCGTGTCCGGCAACGGATCGCAACCCTCAGTGTTGCGCCCGTACCGGACCGGACCGGCAACGGGATCGCAACCCTTGGTGTTGCGCCCGCACCTCGCTCAGCCAGTGAGCAGGAACCGGTCTATATGTGGGATCCGAACCCTCGGCGGGAGCGCCGCCACACTCCCAAGTGGGGCACTGTAGCAGTGCGCCACCGGGCCGGCCCAATGAGGCTGATATTTTAGTGGGAGAGAGAGAGAGACAACTAAACAAAAAATACATGTCAGAGGTGACAATTACCATGGAAAACAATAAAGCTGGGTCAGGAAAAAGGGACTGTCCAATGTGCAGGATAGGGGAATGTTGGTGGTATTGCTATTTCATATAAGATCAGGAAGACCTCTCCAAAAGATGATGTCTAAGCAGAGCTATGAAGTAAGTGAGGGAGTGAGCCAAGCAGGGATCTGTAGATATTCCAAGCAGAAGACACAGCAAGTGCAAAGGCTCTGAGCTGAGAGCATGCTCGGCCCAGTCAGGGAACAGCCGAAAGGCCTGTCAGAGCAGAGTGAATGGGGAGAAAAGGAACAGGTGGGATTCACAAACATGAAAATGCTGAGACCTACATAAAGTCAGGTTCTGCCTAATGCCACATGTCTGGGAAATATTAACAGCTACAACTGACTGAGTGCTGGCACTGTACTCAGTCCTGCTGACACAAGAACTGCTACAGACAGGATCCTTAGAGTCTAACAGGGAGACAAAGAAATTCCACAATGCCATATGACAGGTGCTAAGTCAGGGTGTTCTGAAACTACAAAAGAGGAGCATCTAGCCCAGATTAGGGGGCAAGGAGGCATCCTGGGGGAGGTAGCACTTGAGCTGTCAGACAGGAGAAGGAAAACATCCACAACACAGATATGGAGAGGAAGGGCAGGCCAGAACATCTAACAGCCGGGCAGAGCTCAGGGGCAGTGCTAGGGGCCAGGGGACAGCTTGCTGGAGGGAGGGCTCATTCTGCAGGGGCTGAGAGAGCCTCTGGACAGGGAGGGCCAGGCTTAAGTGTGCACGTGGGAAATTGATGTTTACGGAGTGGGGGACAAAGGGCAAGAAGAAGTGGAATAAAGACTTCAGTAATTTACCTGACACCATGGTATTGCTTTCTCGCTGGTCTTTATTTAGGTGGGTCTACCTGGGAAATGATAGGGAAGCAGAAGGTTAATTACCACCCCCACCTGCCCCAGGTCTTAATTTCTCATCCCATCCTAGGAGGTTCAGATCCTTCTTTAAGGAAGATCTCTGAGTCCTCACCCCGAGACAGCCCAAGACATTCCGGGAGGAGATTCCTCAGTTAAATAGCTCACACAATGGCAGCACTTTGTGGTCTTCAATGTGCTTTCACTGCCATAACCTGTATGTCTTATAATCAACCGAGCAGGATAGAGCTCTGCTCTTAACTTCCTTTTCATAGCAGATGCTGCAGCTCAGAGAGGTTAAGGGCCTTGCCAAGGTCACACAGCCAGTGGGAGACTAAACTGGGACTCGAGCCCAGCTCTTGAGATTGCAAATCCCACAGTGACACTGCAGCAGCTGCAGAAAAACGGGGCCTGGTGATGGCTGAGTCCCACGGACAAGGCTGGAGAAGGGGTGGAACGTGCTCTGGAATGGGGGGAGATGGAGACGCGGCGATGGAGGCAAGAAGAGAGCAGAGCAGGGGGTTAGAGAGGCTTTGAGACAGAACTAGAGATGTGCCCAGAAAGACTTGCTTAAATGTCCGAGGGAGGGGCCCATTGTTCCCATTTCACAGGCGAGAGAAGGGAGGCAAGGAGAGCTGGCTACATGGCTTGCCCAAGTCCCAGGGGCCCTGTTAGAAGCGGGCAGGTAGAAAGTCCAGGACTTTCCCCACCCTAGCGTGGATGATGAAATAGAGATGAGAGGAGAATTGGAGATGGAGACAGATATCAGGGCCGCATCCAAAGAGGGAGGGGGAGAGGCAGAGGCACTGCTGAGGCCTGTCAGCGGCAGAGACGGTGGAGAGCTGGGGGAGAGATGGGGCCCTGATACCCGGCTCGGATTCTGGGCAGGCAGCATCAGCTGGTCGGTGTCACGGAGTTCCCGCGCCTCCCCCGCCCCCGCGGACGCATCCACTTGGGCTGCTCTGCAGCGCGAAGCTGCCTCGCCCCGAGCAGGGGGGACGGGGGCAGGGGGACGGGGA